TTTGAGAAAGAAGAGAATGCTGCCAAATGGAAAGGTGTATTTGTCAATTCTCTTAGAAAGGTACGCTTTTAAAAAGGTTAATTTTAAAAAATATCTTTCATTTCAATTAAATAGAGATTATGCTATCATTTGGAAAAAGAATATCTATTACACTGCACAATACATTATTAAGAAAGTACGTGAAACGAGCAAATAATTATGAGTAAATAAATGAGTAAATTATTTAAAAATATAAAATATAATAGTTTTGAGTGGGCTTATTTACATGGAATTAAGTCATTATTTCTAGTAAGAAAGCGTACATGTGCTATAAGATTAATGAATTGCAGGTTCTTGAACAAGTGCACCCCAGTCTAGAAGCCCGACAAGATGCTCTAGACTATGTTGAGAGCTTAATTCTACGAATGCTTGGTATGCTTTGTGGACATCCACCTCCTCACACGCCACAAGATGTCGAAGAAAGAGTACGACGTACGTTTCCCACTCCTATCGATAGGTGGGCATTAAGAGACGCTAGAGATGCTTTAGAGAAAGGCAAAAAAAAATCTCCTTTAGTATTGCCAGTCGATAAAATTCATCAGCTTTTGCAAAAAGTAAGCATGAGATATCGATAAATTTAACGCTAAGTTAAATACTGACCGCCTTAATGAAATTTTCATTTAGAAAAAGAAAATCACTGTTTAATATAATTATTTTATATAATTATTTAATAAATTCAGAACACCACGATCAAAGTAAGATTTTTTAATGATTAATGAAATGGCATTTAACGAAATTTCACATTGACCGTTAAAATTTATCGAGTTATAAAGCTAAAAAAATTTTATAATATGTATAATGTCAAGGATTTTATTCTTACATTTATTATAAAAAAGTATTATAAAGTACAATTAGAATACTTGCGCTTTCTTAAGTAATTATTATGTAGAAAAATAATTAAATTTCATTTTAAAGCTGATGTAATCACCTTTGCCTTTATACATAGGTCGTACTTCAAAGCATTTAGGTTTTTTTTTTTTTTCTTAACCACCTATAAAACAAACAGTTTAAAAATTGAACATACTTTTTTAAAATCATAATTTAGCGATAAAACTACTAGAATACTCTCTACTAATTCTTTTATAGGGTTATGTTTAATTTTGTCAAAAGATTTTCGTACAAATACTATTTTTATATATTTCTAATTTCAAACAGTAGCTTTATTAATTTCATAAAATTACCGTGTGAAAAACCATGTAACTAAATTACATACAATATTATGAAATATTAAGATAAAATTTCAAAAGCTATTCTATCGCTCTATCAATACAATATTAATGTTTTGAATGCATCCACTTTATTAAAAATGGTACCTATTTGAATGTCGTGAAGAAAATCTAAAAATTTGGACTTTTTTAATTACAGGTAAATAAAAAAAAAAAACAATTGCTTTAAAATACGAGATATACGTCATTTTAACGGTAAGTACATCAGCTTCAAAAGGATTTATTATTTTTTTCTATGTAATCATTTGTATAGGTGTGTCATAATTTGTGTAGAATGCTATTCTTGTTTTATTAATTATATATTGAGAATTATAATGATAATATAATAAGCGTCTTAACAATTATTTAATTATTAGGAGGTTTTGCAACATAAAATTGATTGGCAAGTAACTCTATTTGTTGTGGGAGTCTTAGAGTATATATCAGCTGATATTTTAAAAGTAAGTAACAAAATTTCAAATTTTCTACATCGACGTGCATTTATTGATTGTATGATTGCATCTTAGTTAGCTGGAAATTATGTAAAAAACATACGTCATGTAGAAATTTCTTACGAAGACATTCAGGTTGCAATGTACGCTGACATGGTAAGTTATCATTGGATATTAATGAGATAATTTTTTGCAAAACCCCGTAAGTTTAAATCCATTTGTTTTTATAACTATTAGGTCTTGATGGATATGTTCCATCAAGATGACTGTACGGAGGGGCCCCAAACAGGTTTAGGGACCGTTGTATCTCAAACCTATGAGGAATCTGTTCGTGATCTAATACATGATGAGCGTCATTATTTACGCGATTTACATATGATAATTAAGGTAGGGCAATATCAATGACTTTATATATCCAATAAAAGCCAATTGCTGATTTTTACCAACTCAAAAGGTATTTCGAGAAGAGATAACAAAGCTCACGCAAGATCGAACTGAGCTTGAAATGCTTTTTAGTAATATTATGGACATCTATGAAACTACAGTAAATTTACTTGGTAGTTTAGAGGACATAATGGAAATTACCGAGGAAAAGCAAACACCTACTGTCGGATCTTGTTTCGAGGAACTCGCCGAAGCAGAAGAGTTCGATGCATACACAAAGTATTTACCTTAATTTTATTAGAAAAAAAAAAAAAAAAAAAAAAAAAAAAAAAATCATACTAACCTTAACAGCTTTGCCTTACATTTTCAATATTGAATGCACAGACCTTTCTACATTAAAATATAACATTAAAAATTGTTAATAATGCATTATGTAGGTACGCCCGAGACATAAACAGTCCAGCTTGCCGGGATGTTCTGACAAGACTTCTCTCCCGACCCGAGGCTAACGCAGCTCTACGAGCTGCTGGTCACGGCTTTAAAGAGGCTGTAAAATATTATCTGCCAAAGCTGTTGATGCAACCTGTGTGGCACTGTTTTTTATACTTTGACTACATAAAGGTAATTAATAAAAATTTTAACGACCAATCAACGATAAAGACAACCATCCATTCGCAGGTATTGCAAAAACGAACGCCAAATACGGAAGACCGAGAGACACTGGAACAAGTGCAAGGGCTCTTGAGACCATTGCAAATCAAGCTGCAAGACATTCTGGACAATTATAAATGTAAGCGTGACAGTGGTCTGCGAATGCAAAGTCGAGCTCGCAGACAGGCTGCGCTTGAGAAAACAAGTGAAATGCAAAAAACGGTGGACGGGTGGGACCAAAGAGACATCGGTCAGTGTTGTAACGAATTTATTAGAGGTACGTGTCATATATCATTGGCCTATATCTTTTGTAGTATTTAGGTGGTGTGAAACATCGAATTTGCATTTACGATTTTGCTACGCTTACAGAGGATATGCTGGGGAAAGTTGGTAGCAACGGGCGTAGGTTAACGGAGAGGAGAGCTTTATTATTTGATGGTTTATTAGTTTTGTGTAAGCCAAGCGGTGGTAAAAGAGTTAGCGTTAGTGTGGCGGCAGTTGCTGTTGGGAGCAATCATTCTGCCCATCATCAGAGTGAGTTAAGACTGAAAGAACGTTTCTTTATAAGAAAAGTGGATATCATCGATCGAGAAGATACGGATGGTAAGTTTTAGCATACGCACTTTTCCCTAGATTATTAAAAAAAAAAGCTCAACGATATTGTTCTTAATGTTCGATAGATCGTTAATATTTAATTTGTTCCAGAATTAAAAAATGCTTTTGAAATTGCACCAAGAGACCATCCCAATGTTATACTAATTGCGAAATCTGTAGAGGATAAGAATAGCTGGATGGCTGATCTTGTGATGCTAAATACGAAAAGTATGTTGGAGCGCACATTGGATAGTATTCTTTTAGACGAGGAAAGAAAGCATCCATTAAAATTACCTCTTCCTCAAATGTACAAATTTGCCGAGCAAGATAGCCCAGAGAATATTGTTGTCGAAGCGAGAGAAAATGGTGGTGTGCCATTAATTAAAGGGGCAACATTAGTAAAATTAATAGAAAGATTAACGTATCATATTTATGCCGATCCCGCGTTTGTTCGCACATTCTTAACGACATACAGGTAATTAATATCGCAATTATAGCAATAATAATTTTGTAATTTAATTTATCGCTGAAATGTTATATAATTTAATAGGAGCTTCTGCTCATCGCAAGAATTGTTGAGTCTTTTGATAGAAAGGTTTGAAATCCCAGACCCAGCAAAAGTCTATGATGACGAGGAACGACCGTCTAGTGGTTGTAAATCTATTCCTAGAGAAGATTTTAAACGTTATCGCAAGGAATTTTGTCAACCCGTACAGTTCAGAGTTTTAAATGTTTTAAGACATTGGGTGAGTTTGCCTAAAAAGTTCTCTCGCATATATATTCTTTATGAAATTGTTAATTGCTATAATTCATAAAATGAATAATTGCAGGTGGACCATCATTTTTATGATTTTGAAAGAGACAAAAATCTTTTAGAGAAATTGTTAGATTTTTTAAATACTGTAAGTGAAAATTGTAAATCTATGAGGAAGTGGGTTGACTCTGTTATGAAAATTGTACAAAGAAGAAAAAGTGAGCCATTGGAGCAGCGACCAATTACGTTTAGTTTTGAACGATCTCCGCCCCCGATTGAGTGGCATTTAAAAGTTCCAGAAGAAGAATGGGGAATCTTAACGGTACGATTGATTTTAACGTTCATCCAATCATTAGGTTTTGCATTTTACTGATATCCATAATCTCATTTACAGTTACACCCCATTGAATTAGCAAGACAGTTAACACTATTAGAATTCGAATTGTATAGAAATGTTAAGCCCTCTGAATTAGTAGGCTCCGTTTGGACGAAAAGGGATAAAGAAAAGACGTCCCCGAATCTTTTGAAAATGATTAAGCATACGACAAACGTAAGATAATAACGTAAACGTAAGATATAACTTGATTTATAAAATTAAAATTAATTTAATTTCAATAGTTTACGAGATGGCTTGAAAAGACCATTGTAGAATCAGAGAATTTCGAAGAAAGAGTCGCAATAGTCTCCCGAGCGATCGAAATTATGATGGTCCTGCAGGATCTCAATAATTTTAATGGAGTCTTAGCTATAGTCAGTGCCATGTTTTCTGCATCGGTTTATCGATTACACTGTACATTTCAAGTAAGCTAAATAAATATAATCCCGAATGTCATATAAATATAAGAAAAATTTATTTAATAATTTTTATTCCCTCGTAGCAAATATCAGCGCGTTTAGACAAAGCTTTATCCGATGCTCACGAGTTGAATATCGATCACTTTCGTAAATATCAAGAAAAATTACGCTCTATAAATCCACCTTGTGTGCCCTTTTTTGGAATGTACCTGACCAATATCTTACACATTGAAGAAGGCAATCCTGACTTTTTGCCGGAGAGCCCGTTAATAAATTTCAGCAAAAGACGAAAAGTCGCAGAAATTATAGGAGAGATACAACAGTATCAAAATCAGCCATACTGTTTGTCCATTGAGCCTAGAATACGACGTTTTATCGAAAATTTGTGTCCATTTGACGCCGACATATCAGATGCCGATATTAGCACGTACTTGTATAATAAAAGCTTGGAGATCGAGCCTAGAGGATGTAGACAACCAGCAAGAGTGGTCAGTATTACATTAATCGCAACTTTTCTACGTTAAAGAAATTTAACACATTTATTATTTTGTGTGTGTGTGTGTGTGTGTGTGTGTGTGTGTGTGTCTGCCTGTCTGTCTGTCTGTCTGTCTGTTTGTCTGTCTGTTTTTAATATAATCTTTTTGTAAATTCAAGCACCGTAAATGGCCGGATCTAAATCTAAAATCGCCGGGAATAAAAGCCAGAAGTTTGAGTGGTAAATTACCTGCGCCGCTTCAGGCAGTCGCGTCTAGCGTTAGACTACACGATCCGCCAGCGGCAACCCAGGAAATACCTGTCCCTTGTGAATTGCCCGAGACACCGCCTCACGGATCGTCTTTCTCCTCGACAACTAGCGATCACAGTGTTTTTGCACCCGTATTACTTGGAGGTATGCGGATAAACTCTACTCCTCAACAGTCTTGTACAACAACCATTTACCTTCTAATGTTCAATTTTATAAATATAATTATGTTTGGAATATTCAGGCTCTCCGGGTCCGGCCCTTAGCATGTCAAGCCTGTCCCTAGGCTCTCCAGGCAACAGTCCGCAATTGGGTTCACCGGGACATTTGCCGCCTCATCATCAACAATCGTCGTCATACGGTGGCAGCGCCTCCACGCACTTTGGTTTTAATTCCGGCACAATTGGAGCAATGGGCGGCGCTCTGGCCTGTCTTGCCTCATCTTCATCATTAGCCGGGAGTCCGGGTGCCGGCCCGATAATGCCACCCCCACCGTCGCCCAGCCACGTACCTCCATTTGGTCAACCCCCACCACCCCTACCGCCCAGATCGCATCGACGACGTGAGAGTTGTCTCGGTGACTCGCCTCAACAGGTGCGAACAATAAACGCGCGCTTCGTGTCTTATCTATTATGATGATAATACCCTATTTAAAAATAGAATTTATTAATTTATCGAGTGATTAAATTGTATCGAGTGATTGCATTACTCGCATTTATTATTGGGCATGATTTTGAAAAAAGTGAGATAACTAAGATGAACTAACTCTACGATGATTGCATCTAATTGATAAGTCAGAGCATTAATGGGCCAAATAATGGACTTTTTTAATAGCCATTATATTATTTAACCATACTCAAATAAATAATTGAAGTATGTTAATTTTGTTTAAGAAATCTGCTTTAGAAAGAGAAAAGTAAGCAATAATGTGATAATGAGCTTGAGGATTTACTTAAGATATTAAATAATATGGAAAAATCAATAAAACGTAAAATTATATAATTATATAATTATAAAACTTAGATACTAATTCACATTGGGCAGACAGTCAAAGTGACAATAAATCTTACGTTTTATAGGCTCGACAGGCTCCGAACGCCCCAATGCTGCCGCCACGTGAAGGTGTTTCACCGCCACCGCTGCCTCCGAGGCGCGAGCAGCCATCCTCGACGTTGCCGCCACGCTTCCCAGCGACCCTCAATCCGAGCTGCTCGGCCCTTCTCGCCAGGCGGAATTCGACCTTGGAGAACACGTGCCCGACGACTGCTGGCCACACCCGCAGGCACATGTCCTTCAACGGGCCCAGTCCAACGAAACTGCCCCCGGCCCAGCCACCCAACGGTAAAACGCCAATTCATTTACAAAGGACTTTTCAAGAGAATTCGTTTCCTTATTTAAGATAAAGAGCCTGTAGCGCAGGTTTAAAGATGCTAAATGCTTGGGAAAATACAGAAAATTAATTAGAATCAAGGTTGATAGAAAAAAGAAATGAAGTTGCTCGACCAAGTTTGATATGATCAAATTTTGATGTATCATTTCACTTACGCGTGTGTCGACAAAATCCAACTACAATTAATTCGTCTCTGTATTTAGGTTCGGTGACACCGAGGTTACCACCAAAGCCCCAAATACTAGGAAGATCACCCGCGACGATGTTCAACTTTAACGCCCCCCCGGGATCCAGCTAATATATCACTATCACATAGCGCATCGATGCTGCGAAAGGCATTTTCAAGATTTTTGTAGAACATCAACTCCTAGTCCAGATGCTGATGAGGAGGAGGAGGAGGAAGAGCACGAGGAGCACGAGGAGCACGAGGAATTGCTGCCTCGAGGCGGATAGATTACCGAAAGTGGTGCGTGCGTCTACGGCAACAGACGGTT